ACACGGTGTGATATTCCCCAGGGACACAGTGTGAGATCCCAGGGACAGGGCATGGAGCCCTGGGACCGGGCATGACCCCTGGGACACGCTGTGAGATTCCCTAGGGACACAGTGTGAGATCCCAGGGACACAGCATGGAGCTCTGGGAGCAGGCATGACCCGTGGGACATGGTGTGAGATCCCAGGGACAGGGCGTGACCCCTTGGGACACGGCATGGAGCCCTGGGACCGGGCATGACCCCTGGGACACGCTGTGAGATTCCCTAGGGACACAGTGTGAGATTCCCTAGGGACACAGTGTGAGATCCCAGGGGCACGCTGTGACATCCTAGGGACACACTGTGAGCTGCCAGCACCCCTCCTCAGCCGCCGGGACAGGGTGTGACCCCCACACCGGGACACACCGCGAGCCCCCGGGACCCGCCGGCTCGCAGCCCCGCGGCTGTCCCCGTACCATGAGGATCCTCTTGGGCTCGCCGTAGCGCAGGCGGACGGTGGAGCCGTCGGTGCCGACCAGCAGCACGGGGTAGCGGCGGCCGTAGCGCTGCCGCTGCAGGTGTCCGACGGCGGCGCGGTTGGAGTTGCTGCGGGCGCAGGCGGCGAGTGCCGCCCGGGACGCGGCCGGGAGGCGCAGGGCTCTGGCGGGGGAAGGCGGCACGGCGCCGGTGTCACCGCGCGGCTGCCGGGCTGCCGCCCGCGGGCACACCGCCGCTGCCCCCGGGCACTCCGCGCTCACCTCAGCGCCCCGCTCGCCATCTCAGCCCGGCGGGCAGCGCACGGAGCAGCTGGGGACACACGGAGAGGTCCCGGCGTGGCTGCGGGGGGACACCCCCGTGTCGCCATCGCTGCGGAGCTGCCGCATCCCGTCCGCACCACGGAGCGGCATCGCGGCAGCCCCGGGCATGGCACGGCTCCTCCCGCCCTCGCCATGGTTCAGCCCTCTACGGTTCCCCCCATCCCCGCAATGGTTCAGCCCCACGGCGCCCCCCGCCATGCGTCACCCCTCTACGTTTCCCCCCCATTCCCGCAATGGTTTAACCCAACCACCCCTTGCCCAGCCATGGGTCAGTTCCATGATAGCTCCCCCCCGCTCTCCCCGTCATGGTTCAATCCCATCACGCCTCCCTCCCCCCGCACCCACCTTGGTTCAGCCCTCCCGCCTCTCTCCAACCTCCCGCCACCCCACCGTGCTCCCCTCCGCCCCGCCATGGTTCAGCCCACCTTGCCCCCTCCGTTCTCCCACAACTACCCTCACCCTGCTGCCCCGCACCTCCACCCCGCCACTCTCATGGTTCATCCCCATGCACCCCCGCCCGGCCCGCCGCGTGGTCCGTCCCGCCGCCCCGCACTCACGTCCGGCGCGCTCCGCACGGCCCCGCCCCCGCGGTGACGTCAGGCGCGCGGCGGTGGCGGCGGGCGCGCGCGCGCGCGGGGGCTGCCGGGACCGCGCCCCCCCCACCCCAAATCCCCTCATGATCCTCGGGCGGATGCGCGGGGCGGGCATCGCCCGGGCGGGTGAGCAGCCTGAGGGGCACAGCGGGCCCAGACCCTCGCGGGGGCTGCGGACGCAGCGGGTCCCACCGGCCCGCGGAGCTCCGCCACTCACAGGGGTTCTCGGCTGAGTGGCCTCGGGGCGTTCGGCCCCTCACGGTGGGCTTGGAATGAGGAATCCCGCCCGGCTCTGGGGTTCTCAGCCCCTCACGGTGGGCTTGGAATGAGGAATCCCGCCCGGCTCTGGGGTTCCCAGCCCCTCACAAGGGCCCACAAGGGCTGAGGGGGCCAGCCTGCCCGGGGGTTCCTCTGCCGAGGGGTCCCGGGGTGCTCAGCGCCTTTTGTCGGCCCTGGGTTGAAGCCCAGGCTGGCTTTGGGGGGTCCAGCCGGGCCCAGGATGCTCCAGGCTCCTGCACTGAGGGCCCCCAGCCCCTCCTGCAGCCCTGAGCTGGGGGGTCCCAGCCGGCCCCAGGCTGCTGGGTGCCTCATGGGGGTCCTCAGTGCACACTGAGGCACCGACCTGGGGGTGCTGATCCCCCCCAGGAGCCCCTGGGTGATCCCCACACCCAGCCCCGGGGAGGCTGAGCTCCCCCCATCTGTCCTGTATTACCTGTGTGGGATGGCTGGGGGGTGGGACAGGTCACAGCCCCCACGGGGCTGTCCCCAGGCTGGTTGTGTGTCCTTCCAGACATCCACAGCGGGGCCCCGTGGCTGAGCTGCTCCAGGGTGGCTCAAGATGTCCCTGGTTTGATAAGGCAGGCTGGGATGTGCCTGTGGGAGCAGGTGAGGTTTGTGAGCATCACAAGGGTGAGGTAAGAGGGTTTTAGGGATAAGCAGCCCTCAGGTATCCTAAAACAAACCCATAAAACCACACCTGTGTGAGCTTCACCTCTCTAGAGGTTTTCCCAGGTGGGTAAACTGGTTTCAGCCTACTGGTGAGTTAAACTGGTCTGGTTTACAGGAGGAGGACATGGTCTGGGGATAACAGGTTTGGACCTCCCTGGTTTCTGCAGTGACCTTGAGCGAGTGCTTTGTGTTCTGTCTGCAGCATCACCGCTCCCTGCATGCCAGGAGTGCAGCCAGTGGAGAGGCTAATTCGTGTTTGTAGGTAATGATTTCCAGGAAAAAGGTGGCTGAGCTCCAGCTCTGTACTGCTGTGGGATGCTCTGCTCCTCACAGAACCACAGGATGGGTAAAGCTGGAAGGTTGGAACCTCCCTGCAGATAATTTCCTCTCTGTCACAGCAGGAGCTCTCTCCCTTTTTGGAACCTGTCCCAAATTTTACAAAGGTGGGGGTGGCATCTTTGTAACAAACCTGCTAAAAATAGGGGGTGGGATTATAATCCTAATCCAGGAGACCTTTCTCAAGGCTCCAGGGAAACCGTGCTTTAATCTTCTTTTCTTCTTCATAAGGGGGCTTTGCCTTCCCTGTAAAGCCTCTCTGCTAATCAGTTTTAATTTGTTTAACTCTTGTGATGTCTGTCCTTTGCTTCCCTGGTTATGTTGCCACCTACGAGGTAAAATCCAGGGTGAATTTAGCAGCATAAGCAGACCAGGAGCCATTCCTTGCCTTGGGACAACTCCTGTGCCCTCCTTGTCTTTTTGCAGCCCAGAGGGGTTTATATGGCTGTTTGTCCTCAGGCCCAGGAGTGTTGTTAGTTAGTTGGGCTGTTCTCTTGCTGATCAACTCTGCAGTGGTTTTGGTGGGTTAGGCTGGAAACCCTCTGTGCTGAATATTTGTAGATTGGCTGCTCTGAAAATGCCAAAACCTGACAAAAGGGGGGATAAAAAATTGAGCTTCTGCCTAAAATGCATTTTTGTGACATTCCTGCTGCAGCCAGCCTGGAAATGTGATGCACCAGTGCATCCCTGGAACCAAACAGAAGAGAGAAAGAAGCCCCATATCCACCAGATCTGGGGTTTTGGGGCTTTCTTGTTGCTTTACCTGTGGGTTTTGAGGGCTGTGGTGTTTGGCAGGGGTGGGGGAGCAGGGAATGAGGGCAGGAACATCCTGGGATTGCCCTGGCAGTGCCCAAGGCCAGGCTGCACAGGGCTGGGAGCCCTGGGGCAGTGGGAGGTGTCCCTGCCATGGCAGGGGTAGAACAAGATGAGCTGTAAGGTCACTTCTAACCAAACTGTTCCAGAATTCTATGAAATTCCCAGTTTGCCATCATTCCTCCTGTGAGGGCCCAGCCCCAGGATGGGATTCCATGGGAGTGGAAATGGCTTTTGTTGCCTCTCAGTTTTCCTCTGCAGATCTGCAGCAGGAGAAGGGATTCACAAGGGAGGCAGGAGGAAACACCTGCAAGTGTTCAGGTT